GAGCAGAGTTTTACGGACTTGTGTAGTGGACAAAATTAGGTCCAACCCATTGCTAATTTGGCTCAAGAAGAAACAGCTCTTGTTTCTGAAGAATGCACTGAGCAATATTTGAAATGATCATCGAAGGAGAAGAGTATTTTAAAAACTACTAAACAATGATGTCCCCCAACACACACTCAAGAGACCTTTACATTGTTTTCAAGCCTTTCTTTCTACTTCAAAACATACCAACACAGGTAAGCAGAAGCAGTCTAACATAACAGTCCTTTAACAATTTCATACATCAGGACTTTTTGAGCCACTATATTTTGGCTTAATCCCAACTTTTTTTTTCTTTTCTGCAAGCTTGTTTTATAATAAACGTTTTAAACATTTTCTTGTCAACTATTTTTTTAAATGGTATATCAGATCCCAGTTTGGCTAAGTGGCAATGCTAACCCCCATTCTGTTTGACCTGCAAGGCTGGATATTAAAGCCCTGATAGACTAATCAGGGTCATTTAAGGAAAACACCCAAGAAATGGATTTCTTCTCTATACTCAGTGAGATTTTCAAACACCATTGTCAAGAAATACAAGCAATCCCTGAAACTTTTTTTCCCCTGGGTTATCAGAGTCTGAGACAATTGATGACATTACATTGGTCGTTCATTTTAGATTCGTGGAGCCCACAAAAATCAATAGTTTTCCATTATCAGGTCCAGCTGGGTCACTAGTCTGTCAATGAGCTGTTACAATTGCTGTACAGGGGTGAGCCTGACCAGTCAATTGCTGCTGACAAGAGGAAAACATGCTGACAGCCACAGGAACAAGTCAGAACACAGATTTGCACTTCAGTTTGCCATCCAAAGAGACTCAGAGCAAGGCCATTTTCAAGACACAGGGCACGCTCCCTGGGAGGCCTGGGGGAGAGGCTACCCCCTTGGTTTTATAGCACAAGTGCGAAAGGGCTTCTCCTGGCTCCAGCCAACCATCTCCCTTAGAGACTAGCATTGTCGCTGCCTTTGTTAGTAATAGGGTATGTACCAGCCAGAATGGTCCCTAGACACTATCTTCTAGCCCACACTGTATCCAGAGCAAGAGTAGGAGGAAAGGACTCTACTTTTACTACCACGGCCTCAGATGCAATTACATGGATCTTGGAGAATATAAAAAGTCAAAGAGAAAGTAAGTGGGCCAAAGGCACCAAACAAGAACAAATATGACTAAACACATTGCAAATAAATATTGACTGAAGAGGACAAAATGTCCTCCAAGGTATCTAGACTGTTCCCCTGTTGCCTCAGTATTTATAGCATTATCTATATTTTGATCTCAACTTGAGGCATTTTACTAAACCAAGTGCCCCTTGTTGGTGTCTCATCCATAGCCACTCTGTCTGATGCAGTGGGGAGCAAGGGGAACTGAGTTCTAGTCTTGCCTGCCCACAGTTAGGAAGTGATGGTGTAGAGTGGGCCAGGTTGGACAAATATCTTAACAGTTCCACATTAATAAATGTAGATGTGCTTGCCTTACCCGCTATGTCGCAAGGAGATTCAGAATGAGATCAATTGAGAGTAAGGTCTGTCCAAGTAAGTGACTGTGTGTGTGTGTGTGTGTGTGTGTGTGTGTGTGTGTGTGTGTGTGTGTGTCGGGAAGTTTGGCAGCAACGTGTGTGTGTGTGTGTGTGTGTGTGTGTGTGTGTGTCGGGAAGTTTGGAAGCAACCGAAAGAAGTCCTTCTGTCTCCAGAATAACTCATTTTTGGTTCTAGACTGACTGCTTCCCTTCTTCAGTTGAATACATGAATCATCTACTATGTATCCCATCATGAGTGAAAGCCAGAATATAGAGGGCAGCTCTGAAATCTTAATGGGTTTTGTGGCTCTCCTTAGTTTGTAGAGAACAGGATTAATCCTAGCAGGTTAGACACACACTGTGTGGGCCTCTGCATTCTGCGCACCTTCCAAAGCAGAGCGGATTTGTGCAGTGCTCTGGTCTCCTCATGATGGCTTTATTTTCAGACATCAAACTTATGAGCTCAAAAGATAAATATTTTGAATTTGTTTAAATATTATGATTTTTAATGTTTCACTTTTATTAACATCTTTCAAGTATTAAATTCTAGCCTTTTTTTTAAATGCCTACAGTCTTGGGTTTGATTCCTTTGGAAGTCAACATTCACTTGTGTTCCTCATCAAACAAAACTGGTAATCAACTGTATTACTGGAATCCTACTACTGAGGGTCTTTTTTTTATTACATCACCCAAAAAAAATCATTTTCTTTAAATGAATTTAAAAAAAGTAGTTTTAACAAGAGCAAATTTGCTAGTAATTAGATGAACCAGTCTTATGTCTTCCAGCACTGGGAAGCATGAAATTCATCAGAAATCTCATAGCATTAATTAAAAAGAATTTATGTTTTTTTAATAAAATGCTTCATGTTTCAGCTCCTTTATTCCTCCACCAAATGTGATTATGTGGGGGCTGAAGGGAATTCAGGTTAATATGTTGACACACTTAACAATGCAGGGTCATGTTGCGCAATACGCTTCACTGGTTTAGTCCCGTGCACCCCTGACAGGGCCTAATCATCCCCTGCCCTAAAGGCAGAGGGAAATAGAGGATTTTAATTACTGCTCTGTATGCAAGTTTGCCAGCATTAAATTGAGACATAATTAGGCCTCTGAATTTTAATAATTGTCCTAGCTAATTGGGCAGACAAGTACGTTATGCAGCATGGCGTGATTAGATAATTAGTATTTCCAAATGACAAACTTGGGCTCTTGATTACAAATTCTACAAGAAGGGGGAAAAAGGTAGCAAGCAGATCTTTATGAGTCTATTAAGGGAGAGTTTAGCAATGTTGGTAATTTAAAGTCCATTAGGAGGTAACTTTTCATTCTCAGAGCCTAGGGTCTGAGACAAGGGCCTCTGGCCAACTCTGGTTCCCACTTAAGGTTGCACCCCAGGGTGCCCTGCTTTCTCTGGAGTCTGCTGCATCCTCCCCTGTTCCCAGCCCTCACTCCAAGCTTAGCAGTCATCACTGACCTGGGGTAAAGTCCCTTTGGCTAGACACCAGATGGCAGGTGATAACTCTGAAAAAGAAATTATGGGACATAGGAAGGGTAGAACAGAGAGGGGGGAATCCACCGAGGTTGGGAGCACTATTGTGTCTTTCCTTTGCAGACAGCTGTTCTTTCATTCTCCTCCCAGAATTCACCATTCTCATTGTATTATCAGCTCTACTGAAATCTTTTCAGTGGAAAATCTTAAATCAAAACCTTACATTTTTGAGGCATGATATTATTGAAGTGAAGAGCATGAATGCTGGAGACTGACCTAGGTTTGAGATCATTACTTACCTTGGATAAGGTACTTAATTTTGCCAGCTCTTAATCTTTTCTTGGCAAATTGAAGACTCTTCCACATAAGTTTGTAGATAGGATTAAATAACATTATACATATAATTTAAAGCACAGTGCCTGGCAAGGAGTAAGTGCTCAATAAATATTAGCTATTAAATGCAAATTACACCAATTACTTTAGAAGGTACAAAGCGAAGGTGCTGGGTCTGCATCTTTGCTATGCCAATGCTCAGATGAAGGCTCTAGAGCCGCTTTGCTTTCTGAGGAACATGGTGTCCCATTTACGCTGGGGGGAGGCCCAATGGTACCAGCTGCCTCTAGAACTCAAATGCCTGGCCACATTTCCCTTTTCTCCATTCTTCAGAAGTTGGCATTGCAGACAAGCCCTGCCATATATCATGAGCCCAGTTAACCTAAGAAGAATGTGGTATAAACTCTGCATCTTACCTCACCTTGTGACTCACTCTCCACAAATGTCACACAGTAGGACTCTGGGCTGCTAAACTTTTCTCACAATACTCAGTAGGCTGGGCTCTAGAGCTGTTTCTCAGGCCAAAGGAATATTAACTGGATCCAAACCAGAATCCTCCTAAAAATGATTGCTAAGTGGTTGGCAGGTGAAAATATGATGATAGTTTATTAAGGGAAACTCAGAAGTTCTTAAAACATATTCATGTATAGTCACTGAGGATGACTATAAGGAAAACAACAATGTTTACACGAGTTGGTCCAGGCAAGTCAGCCTACCAGACTAAGTTAGAATTTCTTGTGACTTTCTCAGAACTTTGTTCCATCTCATTTATGAGTGATGGAGCAGTTCTGCCAGAGCTTCCAATTCAGAACGCAGGGTCCTCTTTGTGGTAAACTTTTTATCACCCCAGCACAATCTCTACAGTACATAACATTTAAGGAGTAGACAGTGGAGGACAGCACTCTGAGACCCGAGGAAGAAAAGAGATTTAAGTATACAATGCAAACTCTCTCCAAGAAGCTAGAAGCAAAGAAGATATTATTCTCCGTGATGGGAGTGAAGAGAGAGAGACAAAGAGTGAGTCATCCTTATGCCTGATCTGTACTTACCCAAGGCACCCTTTCCTCTTGGACCCTGAGTCTCCCTGTTGTTCACAGGGATGCTGCTCCCGGGGTCACACAAGTGGCCAGGAGAGTCAGCGCAGAGCTCTCGCGCTCACTGCCCAGACGCCAAGAGGAAACACCCTTGAAGAAAATTGGGAGAGGTAGTAACCGTCATAGGGTTCTTCCCCCCACCGCACAATGCTGGAGCTTCTTCTCCCCGGCTCTTTTTGAGTAAGTGCGTTTATGACTGATCACTCAACACCTTGTTGGTTCTGATTGCGGAAAACACACCTTATAAATATACGATAACCATCCTGTAATAGAGAGTGTGACAATTTACTTCACAGTGCGTTTCAGGCTGCTAATTGATCGTTTCAGTCCAGGGACGATTTGGAATAAATTATAGCCATCAAAAGGATCTCACAGCTCAGTTCGGCGGAAGGCTCTCCGTGTCGCTTCGCGTTTGTTTCCCGCGGGCAGAGCGGAGGGGCGGAGCGGCCGCGGAAGAGCAGGCCGGCGCGCGGGCCGGGGCGGGGCGCGCGGGGCTGCAGGGTCGCGGCCGGACGCTAGAGGCCACCCTTCCTAGGCGGCTGCACGGGCCTCCCTGCTGGGGCTCCGCTCCCCGGCGTGAGCCCGCGCGCCCTCCGCAGCGAGGTCCCTGCGCTCCCGGCCCGGAGTGAGTTCCCCTCCCGCCCGCCTCCTCCGGCAGGCGGCAGCGCCTGTTCTTGAGGTGAGAGGCTGCGTCGGGCTGAGGGCCCTCCTTGGGGGCGGGGGCGCCCGCTGGAGGCTGCCCGTCTGCTGGGCTTCCCCGCGGGGACAGACGGGGTTACGCGGGCGCTGCGCTCCGAGCCCCGGGGCGGGAGCAGAGAGGCGTGGAGGCGGCGCGGCCGTAGGGGGCTTTGTGTGCAGTTGGGTTGGCGGCTCGGGGAGCTTTGGTTCTCACGCCGCGAATGGGGAGGAGCGCCTGCGAAGTGACCCAGCCTCGGAGGGAGCCGGGCCCACGGCAGAGGCCGGGGGAGGCCGAGGAGAGGGCGGGCCGGGCGGGTCAGCGCCGCGCGGCGAGGCCGGGGTCGCCGGACGCGAGGTCGCAGGGGCCCGGGGCCCGCGCTGCAGAACGCGGCGCGCGCGGCCGCCTCAGAGCCGGGCGCGCTGCGCCCGGGCCAAGCGGAGGGGACCGGACCCTGGGCCAGCCCTCGGCCGGGTCTGGCTCCCGAGCCGCCTCAGACACGGTCGCCTGGCAGCCCCGTGCTTCGATTTCGTTTCCCAGCAAAATGTGTGGCGTTGTGTGCTGATCTGGAGAAGAGAGACCCAAAGGCCTGTCTCTGCATGGCATTCGAATTTTGAATCCTGTCGCGGCCTCCCCCTACCCCCCTACCCCACCAACGAGACCTCCAGGCAACTTTCATTCTCTCTTTAAAACTAAAGCGTAAGAAGGATTGAGACCCTTCAGCTCACACGGAACATACCCCTTTCACCCAAATGCTCAAAGTTGGGGGTCGCACGCTTTTAGTTTTTTGGTCATTTGTCATGCTAATAAATTATGTCAATCTAAGGCACAGTTGTTTCCACGCAGGCGATTTTGACAGCAATCATCGTGCCAAGCTATTATGAAGTGTGATGTTAGTGCGTTCTGGAGGACGGATAATGTATACAAACGCCAGTTCTTGACACGCTATCTTACAAGGAAACGTCTGAGACCATCAGTAAGAGGCATTTTAATTCACACACCAAAAATATTTTGTTTGATTGACCTCTTTCAAGATGCTGAAAGAGGTAGAAGCATTAATCATTTCGTAGGTATTTATCGATGTATTCACAAAAGTCCCTATAGGAAGGAAGAGGGTTTTGTCTTACTCCTATTCTATCATATCAACCGGGGAACAGAGATGTTGTGTGTTGTACCAAAAAGTCCATAGTAAGTTAGCGAGAGTGCTCTATGAGACCAAGCATCTTCTACAGCTGGAATAATTGCAAAAGGAGGAAATTAGTTGTGTTCATACCTGTTGTGAGAAATAGTCATCTGCTAGAATAAATGAGACCATAAGCTTTTAGCACAAATGCTGGATGTGTGAACTGATGCATTTATCTTGTAAATATTACACAAAACTCCCAGTCTTAATGATTACTACTTCCTCATGGATATTAAAAAGTTTGATTATATCAGGAGTCACTTTAAACAAGTGATTAGGTTCAAAAGTATAACTAGGGCCCTGCTGAATGAATTAGGAAATCTAAAGGGATCCAAATCTAAGCATATGCTTTAGACTTAATACTATGTAATAGTTAGAAGCTGTATTTATGGACCAAATCCTGTTGGAGTCAGTTTTACACATGGACTTCACATGTGTTGACCCGAGGTAGGTTTTCTTTTCTTCCATTCATTTATACAGTATTTAATGATTACCTAATATATGACTCCTCTGTACCATTGAACATAATCCCTATAGGCATATAATAAATAATTTTTGAAGTGTAACTAAAATATGTTTATCTTCTCCTGGTTCCAAAAACCTCAAGGAATATTATTACAAAAGAGGTTAAAACTGTGAACTTTCATTTATACAAATGGAAAATTTTATTTACTCTTAAGTAGTAAATCAAGGGAAGGAAAGTCAGAAAGTTACCTCCAAACTGTGCCCTATTCAGAGTACCATGTTTTTACCCCTCCTTAAGACCTTCAAAAAAAAGGTTAAAGGACTGACATGATTAAATGGGCTTATGATCTTTTATTTTATGTATTTTTATTTTATTTTATGATCTATTTATTTTGGAATGTAAAGTTTTCCTAAGTGGTTCTGGCAGCTTGTATGGCATGTTGGACTGGATGGTTTTATGTGAGTGGAAGCACTATTTTTTTAGTTAAAATCAAAACCACTTACCCTTCTTTTCCCAGCCTGAAATAAGAATTGCCTACAGTTAAGTGAAGCAAACACATACCAAATAGGCACAAGTACACCTGATTGAAGTTTCTTTTCATTGGTTTAATAAAAATAGAAAAAGATACCCATATGTTTATCACCATTATTTCTCATATTATTTCTTGGATAATGCTTGAAATAATTCAAAATGATGTCTAACTCCCTGAATATCAAGACATTTTTGTGTGAAATCTGTAAAATGCACCTAAAGAATGACAAGTTTTATAAAGTACCATAAGAGAAGATGTTAAGAAAATGTTGTGTAATTGTAATATTGTGCTATAGGGCTGAAACTATATAACCAAGGTTTGACTATAAACCAATATGGTCAACTGTACCAATATTTGCGTATGCATTTAGTGAGTCCACATCCATGAGCCATCATGGAAATCTGTCACTTCAGTGACAGACTTCCTGCTGCCTTGCAAAAACCTATTTTGCAACTCTTCCTTGGGCACTATTTTCAGCACATCTTGTTAAAAAGCCTTGGAAGTAGTAAGTCATCTTCTTCAGTGTCCTGAGGAGTAGGGTGGGCCATCAAGTTAAGGCAATATAATTTGGGATCAAAACAACCAGGAAGATAGTTAGATGGCTTTCTTGAGTAGCTTTAACACTAGTTCCAAAATCATTATACAAATGTGGTTTTTGAACAATGGCAGCGCCACTGGAATAAAAGTAGCTGCCAAGTGAAACCTTTAATAAAAGTGCTTGTTTGGAGTATACTTCCTCTTGATTGCCAGTGAATTATTAATAACAGTCATCTACATGTATGTTGTGTAGTACATTGTATACATGTATATAAGTAAGGCATTGGTTTGCAGTATAGACATTACTTCAGGAAGTTATATAGTGAAGAATTTTGATTGATCTAGATTTTATGAGTTTATTTTGCTATTACAAAACCTGTATGGAATTGTGTAGGAAAAATTCAAGATGTCGTGGCTAAAATCAGGATTGCCCTACATAGTTTTATAGAATTCATGCCTAACATTCCTTGAAATATTAAAAAAACCATTGAAGTTTGATTTCAAACTTCACCTGTATTCTACTTAGTGAGCAAGGCTTTGGTCATTACCAAAATAACTCAGTGTTCCTTAGACCTTAGGTGAAATCTAACCTGTATGTTGAAACATTTATCATTTTTAGTAGCTGGTTGTGAATATAGAGTCCAAAGTAGATATGTAGTACAAGCATCATGTACTGCTTCAAGTTAACAGTATACTGTCTACTCTACAAAATACAGAATCATGAAACTCCTCACCCAGTGAATTTAAACTTTTGTGATATTCAAGGCCAGAATGTGGGAGAGGGGATAGAAAGACAAAGAAGAGAGAGAGGGAAAGGGAAAAAGGTAGGCCATGGGACTTTTGAATCACAATTAGTTGAATTCATTTATGGGAAGAGTTTGTTGCTTTCCAAAAACCATCAGCAAATAATTTAAAACCTGAGGAAATAATTCAGATTCAACTCCAGCTGAGACTATATGGAGAACCTAGAAAAGCAGAAAAAATGTAATTAGCTGAGTACGAATTTTTTGAAGAGTTCTGGTCTAACATCTTTAGTATTATAGAGAGGGCCAGAGGATCATTAGTGATTAGCAGGGATGCAGACCATAATGATCAGGAGAGATCAAGGCCGGGGTACAAAGATGAAAGAGCCTTTCTGTTCAAATTGAATGTAGAAAATGCTGATGGACTTACAGAGGGAAGGTCATCCAGCAAAGAAATAGGGCAACAGTCCCAGAGCAACAAATGTGTTCCTGTCTCTCACCCCAGAGTTCGATTGGAGCCACATTTGAGCTGAGACCAAAAGAATGTCCTTATTTCAATCATTTATAGGGCCTGGAACTTTGAGTCTACCTGCTTTGATGAGCTTGGGTTATTGCCCAGAAATTAGGGAAGGGGACCTGCTGGGCTCTGGATACCAGGGTTACATACTCAACTGAAAGTTCAGTGAGGAAGGTGGAAGGATCCAATTCCAGATCTTTCCTGGTGAAAGACCCTGAATTGTCCATTAGGTAAACAGAATAGCTCCTAAGTTTTATGTTACAAGGGAGTATGAGGTACCCAACAAACCACCAATAAATAAAGACAATTGTGGAAAAACAAGTGACAGTGATATTAGTCTTTCTTCTGAGATAGGTAGCCTAACTCTCATGCCTTCTCATCTATATACTTAAGAAGCATCCAAGTATTTCTTGAATCCAAATATCAAATTTTGTATATAGTGTTTATAGCTTCAGGATTGGGTGGAATGCCCTTTATATGGCTCACTTAGTTGTAATAGAGAACAGTTGGTGTGGCTTGAGGCCCATCTTTCTCAGAGAGATTCCTGATGTTAGATTTACAAAGTTCACATGTAGATCCAGAATATAGAGAAGGTGGGAACTTGCACCGAGAATTGGGAAAGTATCATAATAGAAAGAATCTTGGCCTAGGAGTAGAGACTAGGTTTACCATGTACCAATTGTGTTACTTGAAGCAAATTTCAGTTTCCTGTGGGAAAAATGTATATAATAGTAAAACCTTCTGGGACTATTTCAAAGGCTAATTTTGAGCCTCATCTCAGGAGAAGTAATGGAAGGACATGGTTTATTAAGAGTTGGGCCACAAGTTTTGTAGGTAAAGGTAAGAGTCATAGCTCTTGAGCTATGCAGATATTTAAACCAAAATATAAATGAAGATGGACACCTACTTTTGGGAACTTGGGAGAATAGACTTGTTTTAGCATGGATACTTGAGACAAGTGAATAACATAGTTATATTCCTCCTTTCTCAAATTCTTAAGTACACTATTGCCACTGTAAGAAGTT